ACTTGTTTAATAAAACTTAACTTAGTAGTTCAATTCTCATTTGCCCATTTTTTTTTTCTTTCTAGACAATAACTGTAGTATAATTGATAAGATAGCTAACACAATTATTCTTCGCATATGCAATTTTTCTTCTTAAAAAAGGTAATCAGTGTATTGTTAGTTGACAAAATTATAGTTTTAAAAAAACAAAACAAAACAAAACAAAACAAAAATAAAAGGAAAATATATTGAAAAACTAACAGCTATTATACATAAGTCATTGAAATTGTCAAAATTGGCAGGACATACAGTTGCTAATAAACCTGAAAAAAAAATTTTCTTTTTTAAATTTTTAAAAGAGCATTAGTCATGTGCTAAAAGAAGAAAAAAACCAAACATTACAAGTGAGCAGAAGTATATTGTTGAATTTGATAACAAAAAATTTTATCTTTCAAATGGTAATATTTTTTTAGAATTTGTAGCTAAAATAGAGTAAAATTTTTGACAATAATACATTGATAATGCTACCAACGATTAATTTGAGCAAAATCACCACAATAAAACAAAACATAACAACAACCGCTTTGACCGTTTTAAGACCCTAAAAAAGAAATGAATAATGCACAAAAAATTTTTTAGAATTTCAAAAACTTTAGTTACTTTAAACTTTTTGTCATTCCATTTTTTTTTTGCATGCATAGTATCTCGTAACATTTCTTCCCATCTTATCGTTTACATGTCGATGTAGTTTAGTATTTTTATGCATGAACAATTTTAGATTACTACATTATCGCCTCCACAGCTGCCTATAATCCAAAGCAAAAGTTTTTGTAGTATGTCTATTTTGCCAAAGTGATATATTCTTTGTTAACTAAGCGCTTTTCAGTTGACTTATACATTTTCCAAGTTATTTATTTGTACATTTTTTAACCAAATATTTATAATAGCAATAAGAAAAAAATGACTTTGCAGGTAGTTTTTACAAACACTGCGCTTGTATCGCTAAACATACATTAGTCAAGAAAACACAGGTTAACCTTGACTAATTTCTCTTAAAAACT